AGAGAGAGAGAGAGAGAGAGAGAGAGAGAGAGAGAGAGAGAGAGAGAGAGAGAGAGAGAGAGAGAGAGAGAGAGAGAGTCGACTGTCACAGAGAACTCGGCAAGAAGAGGTGCAGAAATGCCAATGCGAAATTTTAGGGAGCTGGACAATCGCTCTCCATGCACTGATGAATGATGGTTCAAGGAGAAGGTGCTGCTGAAGAATGCGACTTTCATGTGGAGCAGTGGTTCTCACAGTCCACATGGTCTGCTGCATGTGTGTTGCCTTGTCCATCAGGCCCAAGCTCTCTCTCTCTCTCTCTCTCTCTCTCTCTCTCTCTCTCTCTCTCTCTCTTTCTCTCTCCCCCTCCCTCTCTCTGTGCCTCCGCCCCCGTCCCACAAGCCCCCTGAACACAAAACGAACAGAGATGACAGTGCTATGCAGCAGAACGTTCTATGCAGTTCTTGGGAAAGGGGGCGTTGCTGTGAAGACCTATGGCATTTGTGACATGCTCGTGAACTCGTCTCAAGGACAATATGCACAACCCTGCGGTAGTCTAAGATTGCATGCAGTGATGTCCACGCGGCAGTGAGCAGGAAACTAGATTCTAAGAGGAACTGGGAACCATTATGGACAGTTGTGGCAGCCAGTGGAGTTTCTATGTAGTGACCAAACTGATGGGAATCCAGAATGCATAATTATAATATATTTTGGCAATTACTTCGGCAGCCAGCATGTAATAAGTCACCCATGTGACAAAGGCTGTGGATTAGGTCATCTATCTGGCAGAGGCTGTGGTCCTGTGGATAGAGCCCATCCATGTGGCAGCTGAGTGCCGGAGGTCATGAATCGACAGGTCCTGGAGTGAATTTGGAAACTAAGGGTTAGCTAACCCTCCGCAGCATTGCTGTACTATGGAATTCTTAAAAGAAATAGTGAATTTTGAAACTAAGGCTTATCTCCGCAGCATTGCCGTACTACGGAGTTCTTGAAAGGAATATGGTCGTCCACTTCTGCGGTGCAACTTCAGGACTTCTGCATTCAATTGTACCTAGCGGGCTGCATACAGAGGGGCCTGGTGGAGCCCAGCCCGCTGGAGCATGTTCGGTTGCTACTTTGAGAGGAGTGTCTCCCCTCATCGTTTCACAACAATTTTCTTTCAAGGGTCCGGAGTAAATGCACGTCGTTCGACGTTTGTCCAATGCAGTGGTGGACAAATTGGGCCGTGCGATGTGGTATAGACCAAGTGCAAGGAGAGCATTGTTCAGGGAGACTGCTGAACGGTATTCTTAGGTTAACGACCCGAAAATCTGCACCTGGAGACTGCGGATCATAACCCTAAGAATCTATGTCGCATTGAGATGGAGACTAGGTGGCTGCAAGCAGGGAACTTTCTTGAGAAGATGGGTCTGGTTGCTGCTTGTCACATGGGAACGTCCGTGAGTTAAGCGCCACTAGTTGGAACACCATTTCTAATGGTCCCTGTCAGAATGTACCTGGAGGTTTGACTCTCCCGTTGCATTCTGGTGACGGTGTGCTGTCAAATTAAGTGCAGGTGGTGTGGCAAAGCCATCTTCCGATATTTTTTAGTTGTTAGACTTTGCAGCTGTCAAGTAAGAGTACAGGTGATCGTATCTTCTTACCAATCTGTGGATTGGTTGATGGTCTGAGAAGAAGGAGATGGGGCAGAATGTGCACGACAAAGGGAGGGTGTGTGATGTCGGTCAAGACTCGGGAAGTGTCTGTCATGTCGGCACCTCCTTTTAAGTTGTTCCCCTTATGCGTTCATGCATCATCACTTTTCTTTTTCTTTTCTTTTGGAAGGGCGGCAGCCTTGACATATCATCTTTGCACTGTCAGTGACCCGTCCCAGGCAATCTCGGAGTTGTTTTCACTCATCTGATGCCATTGGAATTCGACCTCTGGGCTGTATTTTGACAGTACACCCAGGCAATCTCGGAATTGTTTTCACTCATCTGACGCCATTGGAATTCGATCTCTGGGCTGTATTTTGACAGTACACCCAGGCGATCTCGGAGTTGTTTTCACGCATCTGACGCCATTGGAATTCAAACTCAGGGCTGTAGTTTGACAGTACACCCAGGCAATCTCGGAGTTGTTTTCACTCATCTGACGCCATTGGAATTCAATCTCTGGGCTGTATTTTGACAGTACATTGGTTTAACAACTGAGCTAGGCCAGTTGGTATGCATCATCGCTGTGCAGTTGCCCCTTTGACAGTAACAAGGAGCAGTTGGTTAACCCGTGAACTGTTGAAATACAGACCCAAGTTTGAATCCAGATGCAAGTGGATGAACGGAACAAAGTAGTTCTGAGTCTTCTGACTTACCTGGCACAGGGGCCAATCAGTTCAATGAATATGATAATATCCCAAGACTGCCACCCTTCTTGTTTTTTATTATTTTTTATTTTTTTATTTGCCAATTTGGACCATTTCTTGATTTATGCGTGTCATCCTTGCGCAGGGGCCATGCTAATCTTCTCTGTATCGTTCCAATTTTAACGGATGTCCCGAGGATCTTTTTTAAGTGCAACAACAAAACAATTTAGCCTGAAAATGGTTCTGGGCCAACCACCCCTGCTCACTTAAAATCCCCTATTGCATTTGCAAGTTAAACAATACATTTGATAGATGCAGAGGCTCCTATTGCGTTGGCATGTGCTAAGACACAGTGGCTGGGAGGAAGTTCTCCCACTGTAGTACTTCTTCGAGGATGGCAGCGAAAGTGTTTTCTTTTTGTTGCAAGTAGTACACACCCCAACTGAAAGTGTTCCATGCCAATGTGAACAGTGACATGTTCTCATTTGTGTAGCACCTGCCTTGTGTGAAAGTTGAAAGGGCTTATCATTTTCGTTGGTATTATCGATATAGAGGTGTGCAATAGTTGTAATCCGCGTACCCGAGTGTTATTCAAAGTGGAGTGCACTGTGCGGTTCACAGTAGTGCACTTATTCCCTTGTGAGGCTTACAATTCTGCAGTAATCTTGTTGAAGGTGTTCATTTTCCAGTGCCTTAGATCACTCTGCCCACCTGGATTGCCCGAACGGCTCGAGTGTGATGGGGTCTTGAAGCGGGTAGGGCCCGGATCTAAAACGGGGCCCATTCTAAGTAGGGCCCGGATCCAAAACGATCTGCTGTCATATGCTGTCTGCTGGTGTCCGTGTGAATCTTACTGCCTTCTTCTTCATTTCGTTAGCCGAATTATGGTGTTCAGCAGTGCTGTTTTGTTTTGTGGAATATTTTTGTCAGCTGTGAATTGTGGCTGTGATGGTGAATTGACGTGGAAGTCTAGGGTGTGCTTTCAAAGATTTTGGTTGCTGATACCTCTCTGTGTGTGTGGGTGTTTCTTTCCGTTATATGTTTTGGCACAATGAACGCATTGGGAAATGCTTGTTTTTTGCCCAGACCACGGAGCAGAAGGGAGGGAAGCTGAGCTTTACAATCCACTTCTGGCTTGGGAAGGACACGACTCAGGTACTCGCGGTCTCTTTCATGCCTTCCTGTCGGGGACGCCTGTTCACCCCTCACCTTCAGTAGCTTCAAGAAAGAACAAAATTCCAACTGTTACATCCGTTGCTGAGCCTGCGCTAATTTCCAAAGTGAATGTTAAAAGTATTGTCCACACTTGGTTTTGTGTAATCGGAATCGGTTACCCGGCATCCATGGTTGGTTGCTTTGGTGCATGGTCATGTAAAAGTCCTGAAGGCTAAGGCTTTGTAGTAAAGTATCTCATCTTCTGGGGGTCGCATGTGCTGGATTTGGAAGAGGTCCTTCCCCTTCCCTGTGTTTCCCGATCTCAAGGACTCCAAAGGTTACAAATTACAATTGATCATATGATCCATATTGTTCTGACGTGGTCGAAACTGGATGTCCTGTGGCCAGCCCCAATTTCATGTTTCTAGGAGCCTGTGCGTGAACAATTTGGATATATCTGGGAGCTCCTGACTATACTTTTTGACCGATCGAAGAGCTGATTATTTTGAAATGATTTGATGAAAGTTGAGAAAAATGGTCTTTGCCCAGGAATGCTTGCTTTCCGTATTATTACCCTTGGGAACAGGGTTGCATAATTGACCACCCACCCCGAGCGCCGACCATTTTGCAGCCTACCGGTAGGGCCGGCCGGTCGGTGGTCTGCCGACCAGTCAGTAAACAGTCGTCCACTTTTTTTTTTAATAATCCGACTGTATTGTGCTTGTCTGAGTACAGCCAAAATCCGCTGAAAAACTTTTGGGTATGGGGGGGTTATGGAGGGGGTATAGGGTGTGTATAGGGGGGGTGCAGGGGGTAATGGGGGGGAGGGTATGAGGGTGTGGGGGGGGGGGGGGTTAAGGGGATGTTGGTGGGGTTATTGGGGTTTTTGACTCCATGTTTTTTTTTATTTTTTTTTTGTGGCGGGGGTGCTGGCGACCAATCGGCCTGTGCAGAGGCGTCGAGATAGTCCCTTCCTCAGTTGAGAAAAATGGTCTTTGCCCAGGAATGCTTTCTTTCCATATTATTACCCTTGGAAACAGGGTTGAATACCCACCGACCACCTATCCAAATGCTGATTATTTTGAAATGGTCTTTGCCCAGGAAATGGTCTTGCCCACCGGTAGGGCCGACCATCTTGCAGCCTACCAGTAGGGCCGACTGGTTGAGGAAAATGGTCTTTGCACAGGAATGCCTGCTTTCCCTATGATTACCCTTGGAAACAGGGTTGCATACTCACCGACCACGTACCCTGAGCGCTGAGCATTTTGCAGCCGTCCGGTTGGCTGGTTGGCAGCTGACCAATCAAGGGGCGCTGACTGTCGGCCTGTGCAACTCTGCTTGGGAATAGTCTCTTCCTCAGCATGACAAACTTGTGGGCTCGACATCCGTGATGTGCAGTATTCTCTTATGATCCATGTTAATCAGGTATGTCGGATATGTCCCAATAAAGCTGCCTGTTGTGGATGGTTAAGGTTTCTGAGTGTCAAAGTTACTGCTTGCTGAATGACTGCTCGAAGATGGAATGCTTCGGGGAAGAATACAGAATTGAGGGACATACTATGTCTTAATTTTCCGCTGGGTGCGCCTTCACAAGATGTTTATTCCTGACACATGAGAAGTGATAATTTGCAGAAAAGCTGAGTGGGGATCCGGGCCTCCTGGGTGACCGGCAGGGGCCCGGGGGATGTCCCGGGTGGCCTGGCCGGGCAGGGCACCCGGTTGGGGGCTGCCCCCCCCCAACTTACTCACCTGTTGGGGGATATTTCGGACCCCCTTTAGGACCCTCTGTGTGTGTGTGTGTGTGTGAGAGAGAGAGAGAGAGAGAGAGAGAGAGATGTGCAGGGCGCCGCACGCGCATGCACGCACGCACGCACAAGTGATGCGGCGCATTAAAAAAGTAGAAAAACAAAAATTTCCTAGTTGTGTCCATCCTCTTTTCGGAAGGATCCCTACAGCATACTAGCTAGGACCCGACGTCATGCAGAGATACACTTCAAACTTGTACTCCCTGAGGGTGGGCAGAGAATATATAGTCTGGATTCAAATTCAGGTCTGTGCATGTCGGTTATGGGTCACTATTTCTCTGTTTTCTCGCTGTACTTTTCTTTGCTCGTTTCTCTTTTCTTAGGAATACGTGCAGAGGCCCTAAGGGCCTCTACTCACCAAATGCACAAAAGACAACATATGGTGGCATATTATTCCACGTTCTGCAGAAGATCCATTCTAATTCTGCACATTTCGTGAGTAGTGCTGCCAAGCCCTAAGAGTCACGTGCAGAGACCAAAAGGGCTAGCTACGTGAGCAACCCATAACTGCTGAAACACGGACCTGATTTTGAATCTTGAGTATATATTCGGCCAGCTCGTGCTCTACTTCATATTTTCTGCCTGCCTCGATTTCGGTGGGGGGGTCTGCGCTACATGTCTGCGAGGACCCTTCAGATAGCCTGCATGGGTCGTCTGAGCCGTGTCAAGGGGATCCGTTCTCTCTCTCTCTCTCTCTCCCCCTCCCTCCCCCCCTTTGTGTACACACACAACCCTTACAAAAAAAAAAAAAAAAGGAAGCGCATCTGCGCCCCATCACAGACACCCCCCCCCCCCCCCTCCCCCACCCACCAAAACCAAAATTTTATTGCAGATTCAGGGTCCTCGCCGAGCGCAAAATGACCCCAGTTTCAAAAAAATAAAAAATAAAAAATAAAAAATTATGGGCGTTATTGTCCCGCCTGGTTTATGTGGACGGCCCCCCCGGGCCCAACTGGCCGCGCGGCGTCCTCACTCAGCAGAAAAGTACTATCTTTCTGGTATTTCAGAATTGCTAGTATCATCCATTAACTGTTTATTGGTTGGTGTGTGTTGATGGGATTTTTGCATTGGAATAGGACGAGGCAGCGACTGCGGCGATCAAGGTTGTGGAGCTCGATGGGGTACTGAATGGGAGAGCCATTCAATATAGGGAGTGTCAAGGGCACGAGTCAGATCTCTTTCTCTCTTACTTCAAGCCTTGTTTTCTACCTCTTGAGGGTGGGATTGCATCCGGCTTTACGAAGGTCTCTGCAGGGAACTATGCCCAGAGGTTGTTCCAGATCAAAGGGAAACGGACTGCACATGTTAGACAGGTACTTTGAAAGACGGGAACGTGGATGTATCCATGATCTTTTTTCCTCGGTTTGCAACCTTTTCTTTCCACAAATGTAGAAGTGCCTCTCTTCCATCCCGGCACTGTTTCTCACCCTCGTACCTGGAATGCATGGTATTTCAGTGTTTTCTGAATTTCCTTGTGTTCTCGTACACTCCAATGCTTGCTGCTATTCCTCGTGCTCTATATCCTCTTGCTGTCTTACTGTCTGTCTGCCTGTTGGCTCGTCTGCCGCCCTGTTTGTCAGCCTGTCTATTGGCCTGTCTTTCGGCCTGCCTGTCTGTCCGCCGCCCTTTTCTCTCGTCGAGCGTCAACCTTCCATCGGCAGGGTCTCTTCCGATTCCGGCTATTCTACGATGTGCTGGCAACATGGTGAGATGAGCGAAGTCAGGAGCTGTCTTTCTTGTCCGACTCCATGTTCTGATGACTGTTATGCCATACAAGGCGTGCTGATGATCAGATCCTGTATTGTGCTCGAGAGTCGAACAAGTGGCCAGGAACCTTATCCCATTGCTGTACTCAGCAAAACAACCCCTCTTTACTGTCATTTATCTGCTTCTATGAGCTCCTGCTCATCACCCTATGATCTCTTTGCTATTGTGGTCTCTGTATGATTCGCTCTGTGTTGTCTCGTGTGTTCCCTCTTTGTTTTTTTTGTTTTTTTTTTTGAAAGTCTTGTCATGGGCCTGGCTCAATATCCATTCTGGGAAGCATCAGTCCTGTTCCTATACCACTGGCAAGTCAGAGAAATACAGCGCAACCCACTCATGACACCTGCCCATGTTATAGCTCGGGGAGCCCTGATAGCATTTTGACTACTTCCTGAGAAGGATTGACAGTCAGTAAGCCCAAACGTGAAAACAGGTCCGCCCCTTGTTTGCTGTAATCCTCCGAAAAAGACATGCTTGAAAACCAGAGTAGTCCCTCTCAATCCACCATTGTGGACTGTCCGAAGAGATGGCTGTTTCTCTCTTTTCAGCCTCTTATAAACTAGTATTTCCGCACACTTAATTTGAGCTCGGGTTTCATGAATCAACAAACATCCTAAATTGTTTTAACGGAATACATTATAGATAATCCCTGGGTAGCACCACGTACGCGTATGCAGTGCGGACTTGTACATGTCCGAAAACGCGCATATGCGTACGTATAATACATAATATATATATAATATACTATAATATATATATAAGCCTCCTGATGAGTCGGTGAAACTCCGACGAAACAGTTTGTCACAGCCCCTCGTTTGTTGTCCTCTTCTCCCTCTCTGCCTACGGTTTACCGGGCAGTTCTATTTGATGATATATATAATATATATATAATATTATTAATATATATAATATATGTATAATATATGTATAATATATTGTGTTTAAATGTATAGGAGGAGGAGGAGGACGAAGATCTTCCTCCTCCTCCTCCTCCTCCTTCCCATCGTGATCTTGTTCCTTCTCCTCCTCCCATAGCCAACGGGCGATGATGGCGGGGGATGGTGACTCCTCGGGCGATTGGCGATGGTGACGGGCGATGGCAACGGGGGAGTACGATGGGGATGGCGATGGCAACTCCTCGTCGGGCGATGGTGATGGCGACGGGCAATGGCGACTCCTCGGGCGATGGCAACTTCTCCCCCTTGGGCGATATGGTGCACCCCCCGAGCGGACCCCTTCTCCGCGTCACCCCCGTCTCCCGAAGTCCCCCCGCTTGGCACCATGGCCAAAAACGGGCACAGAAATTGCCCGCGACAAGTATGTACGCGGGCCCCATTTTTTAGTACCTGCGCACACGTCTGCCTTATGTGCATACGCGCATACATGTATGCACGTCTGCGGACCCTGCGTATGTGTACGCCGCGCAACCCAGGATGATCCATATCTAGATATATATGTATACATATGTAGATATATGTAGATATATGTAGATACATATACAAATCAATATCAATATATTCACTATATATATTTATTTATTCCATATTTTGTATTCCAGAGAGACAATTCATTAATCATACATATGAATGAATGAATGATTTTATTTATTTGTTATTTATTATTTAGATGTAAAAGACAAAGTTCGAGTAGCGCACACAGAACAGATTGCAAGGAGAGATGGACACCAAAGCCAAGAGTTATGGAGACTATGTTAACTTGCGAGCATCTTTTCTTGAGCCCACTTCTCTGCCGGCAGCCAGCGTCTATAGCGCCTTCAAGTCAGAACAGGTTTGCGTAGAACTGGCAGGGAGGGTATGGCCAGCAGCCAGCTCAAAGTGATGAGAAGAAAAATGCTGTCTGGTTTCAGCCCTCCAGCCTCTCTTTCTCTCTGAGCGTTTGCTCTCTTTGATTTACCGTACAGCCACAGCTATGGTGCCCAAGGCCTGTAGACTGCTACTACTGTGGCTCACTCTCAATCTGCCTCACTCTTCACTTGGTTGCACAGCGGCGTGGCACGCTTCCACAGCAAGCATGAGTGCAGTGAATGATTGTTAGCAACAGCTGCTGTGTAAAAATATGGACGGTCCAGTTTCCAGACCTTGGACATGCAGACCCAGCTGACCTCGTACCTTGCCGTATTGTGCCTCTCGGCCGTCAACGCGTCTGGAAAATTTGTCGGCCCGCTTGGGACCCTGGGCTGCGGGTTGACTTGGCCGGACTGGGTTGGATGGGACTGAGCCGAACTAGCCTATTGGACCCTGGGCTAGGGGAATGGACAGGCTAGACTTATTCACATTTCTGGACCTTAGGCTAACAGAAATGTACCTGGGACCGGATTGACCAACTACCTGATCTCTGCTGAGACTCCTTGAGGCTACTGTGCCGAAGTACTGAGATTGCAGGTTCCTTGCAATGGGGCCTCCTAGTGTCATGCTTTCTTACCTTCCCACTGTGTCACATCCCCATGCACCTTCCCGTGATTCCTGGGTAGGTGTGCATATATGGTTACACCTATGCCGTTTGCCTCCTTACGTTCTTACTGCGTGTCTCGCCCTTCTCCTGCATGCTTATGCCCTACTTTTCGCCTGCACAATTTCTTTCCCTGTGGTCTTGCTCTCTCTCTCTTTGATTGGTGTTGCTTCCTTCACATGCTCTGTCACGTTGAAGTCTGGGCATGCTGGTAATGCAAGGTTGATCCCATGGGGAAGGTGTGAAGAAGAGTACAGCAATAGAGTCGATCAAATGTACAGATCAAGGCACATTCAGGAGGTAGTGCGGGCAGAGGCAGCCTACCAGGGCGAACTTCCGCATGCTCCCACTTCTCGCCCCGTCTCTTTGACGTAATGTCGGGACAGTGCTGGGCTGTTCTACCTCTCATACGATCCTGATACTGGGCTGTGAAGGTCTACCAGTGGTCCATCTTTCTGGGAGGCTGAGCTGTGTGCTTTATGGTTTTGGTCAGGGGTTGCTGGGCTTGATCTTACACTGGTCTAGCCATGTTCCCTGTACAAGGTCAGATGCGTCCACGTGCATACAATGTAGTCTTTTGTCCGATGTACACTGAATAGGCACACAGGACAAGAATAGGTCCATCGCTAGTCTGATCAAAACATGCCTCTGATCTACAACTTCCCGAACTGAGCCGTGCCTGTGCAGATACAGGCGAAATCCGATTAATGCTCTATGCAAAATGAGACTCCAAAAGTAAGACAAAACAAATGGTACAGAATGAAAAAATGAAAGTAAGAATCCAAATTGCCCCTGGGTCCAAAATGATGCCCTAGGCATCCGAACAACCATTGGGCCCTTCGTCTGGTGTGCCCAGGTCCCGGACATGCCCCACCCAGCGGAGCTGCTGTGAGGATGGAGTTGTCGATCAGAAGTGGGGACCTTGAGTCTGAACGGGTGGGTGCGAAGTGTTGAAGCTTCTTCAGGATGAAGACAACACTTCTGGTAAGCCAGAACGGCAGCTGCAGAGCAAGGGTGAGCCAACATTCAGCACTGGCTTTGCAGACATTACAGCCTGCCCTGTACTTCATCAGGTTTCTTTTTTACTGCCGATGTATTTAGTTGGCCACCTGTTGCGAACCATCTACAGAGGGAGGCTTGTTCGAACACTGGTAGGCAAAGGAGTCTCAGCGTCAATGACTTGAGCTTGGTGACAGCCTTGAGGACTGGATGAAGGATCAATGGACAGTGTCAGAACAGAACGGTTTTGGGCGCATCCCGAATGAAGATCCTTCAGGTGAACACTTGCAGCATACAAGATAGGCCAAGGTTCAAACCACACAGAGGAGCCTATGTGAAAGGATGGGGAAGGGCAAGATATGCTGATTTGCCTGCTGTTGCATGTAAGCCTGGGCCTTCGTCACCGGATTGTGGTCTTTCTGAATGAGATGGAGCGTCCTGAGCTGTAATGCTACTGAACTGGGAGGATCTGTGTGACGGACAGGGGATGAGGAAATCAGCAGGCAATCGTGGAGTACAGACATGCTCTAATGTGCATGTTGACATGCCAATCATTGGGTGGATGAAAGTATTGTGGGCAAGCATGATGTAGGCTGAAGGCTGTTCCCAACACTTGTGGTCGAAGCGTATGATAGACCAAAGTCTAATTGGGGCGTTCTGATGTCCTTTCTTTGTCTGTCCTTGGGTTTTGAGGGTGATTTGAGGAACTCGGCTTGAGGATTGAATTTCAAATGCACAGCGAAATATCCTCTGAGCACCCTCAGACTGACATGTGGTTGAGAAAGCTGACATATATCGAGAGACATCATTGCTGGCAATGTCTTTGGGGAAACCGTTTTGACGTATCCAACCCCATAAAAAAACGTCCACCAACTTGGCAGCCGAAGGGCTGCAGCTCCCCAGATGGAGGGCGGCTGCCTGGCTTGGACTGCTGGCACACATTTTGAATGGATATCCTCAGTAACGTTAGTTAAGAGACCCCACTGGTAGAGCTGCTGTCATAAGCGGGTGATAGTGTGGGTAATGCCAAGATGACCTGCATGGCTGGCATGGTGGTAGCCTCCAATCATGAGGCAAGAAA